GTGTGTTTATGCTAACATATTCATCACTGTTGGCAAGAGGATTTCTTCCGCCATTCAACTTCTCTTTCGACGACATCCACAATATAAGAGGACGGATCGCTTTAGATGTACTTGTCACACCGAACTAGGAGTTACTTGTGCAACAACGGACATTTGATAGACGGCATTATCAAAAGCAAAACATTTCTTCATTTTTTGCAAATGTAAAAAGTTCATTGGCTCTGCTAGATAGACATTCATGAACGTGTTCGAATGTATTTAACAAAGCAACAACGCGACATGCCTGATTGAACACCATTACTGTATTACTTCAGATGACCTCGTACCCCTTACCCTTTACCCCTTACCTATATTACCCCTCACCCCTTTACCCCTGACCCCTGACCCTATACCCATAAAAGACTTCATAAATTACATACAAAAATCGAAAAAAAATGGATTTTCAATTTTGTCAAAAAAATAAAAAAGTGTCCGTTTTGACGAAATCGCAGTTATCACACGAGGATGTGCTCTGAATACTACTCCCTGGATGCTTCTACTAACTATTCCTACTAATGTATTAACTGGCGCTGGCGCGGCTATGGCTGCCTTCCTTCCAGTCAGTGGCCCACTTCTCTGTCTCTCACACTTAGCGTTGCTCACAGCCTAGCGTAAGTCACACACATCTGGCGCACAAGTGTCGCGACACTTCCTCACTCTCATGCAAAATGAGCATTTGGCGAATGAGGAGGCTTCCCAGTCCTTTATAGCGCTGGATTGCACTGGCGAGGCCTGAACTTGGCCTCCAAGTGTCTGGGACTCCTGCCCAGTACCTGTTGTTGCAAAGTGTGTGTCCCAGTATCTTTCCTCATGGTCTGCTGCTGCTTTGGGTCATCAGACCTTTGTTTTGGACTCCTGGTCTGAATCATGACTCACTCGTGGGACTATGACTGGAATGGGACCGTGGCCTCTGACTTATTGCTGAACGGACATAACTTATCGTCGAGCAAACATGACCCTAATTCCCATTTGAAAACTGTGTTGAATACCTGTTCGTCCAGGACCTGTTTCTGACTGTTCAAAACGACTTTTCAGTTCATTATGGATGCGACATTTACCTCAGGAACTTGTCCTTTCGAATGTTGCTCGTAAAATAAAGTTTAGGCCGAGGCACAAAAATGGGCACACCCTTGCCTGCCAAATAAACTTTTGTTCGACACGTGTCAGAAGCGGCCCTCGAGCAATCGTTTTCTCCCGCATGAAGGTGATGGAAATTTGTCAGTGGCCTGCCGACCTTTCGACAAATCCGTTCGAATTCGCATCGTCATGCACTGTTGCATGACACGCGTGCCCTGTCAAAAGCGTGAGTCTGCCTTTGAGTGACAAAAAACCTTGTCCGAAAATATTCTGTGTGGCGAAGTGGGGGTAAACATTCGACGACTGACTTTCAAATTATTCTTGACACCTAAGTTTCGACAACCTGTGTGTCGAGCCTCTATATATCTGATTGCATACATATATATATACATATATATATATATATATATATATACAATCTGACTCAACTTTGCACTTGCTCACAACATGCACACTTGAGAACCGATGGCAAACCAAACTCTTCCGACTTAAAAACAACAATGAACTTTGTGCAGAACAATTGTACAACTTGCGAACATAGCCGTCGAACACTGTCTCTACCACCAGCCTCACTCTCCCTCACTCGCACATGTATGCACGTACGAGGATCACCCTGAATGTCCCCGCTCAGCACAACCTCACACACTCTGTACAGTTGTCTACACCAACAGTTGGGTGGCTATGGTCGCTGCCGTCTTCCTCCTCCTAGCTATGGCCGCCGGTGTCTCCCTCGCTGGTTCGCCATGGCCGTTGTCTTCTTCACAACCCACTTCTTCTCCGGGCACCTACAGACCTCCACGCACAAGATACCAAGGCAGATCTTCCGCATGACTCACAGGCAAATGAATGAATGGCTGGACGCTGCCTGTTTATTTATACTTCTTAAAAGGTGCCCGGACCTGCCTCAAAACGTGTGGGCCTGGGCCAAAACGTGTGGCCCAAGGAAGCTTCCAGACGTTTGGCCTCCTGGGCCAAAACGTGTGGAACCCATCATGTGGTCCATAAGCTTCCCGATGTGCAGCCCCTACCCCTGGTTCTTGCTGACTAGACTGGCCTACAGGGACCTACGACCTTCTAGACTATACAGACCTACCGACATATTCCAGTCCTCAACAGACTTCGTAGAGACTTCTAGAACAAACTTCATAAGCCTATTGGTAACAGACCTAGCTACTAATCTACAGACCTAGAGATGAAGTCCTACTGCCCAAACTACAAACTAATATGGGATATGGAACAGGGCTAGGGATCGAATCCTACTCAGCACACAGGGTCTATGTACAGATATAGGGTAGGTCTAGGGATCGAATCTCACTCAGCAAACTGGATTAATGTACGGGGTTGTGACACAGGTCTAGGGATTGAATCTTTGTGACTGCATGTCAGGTCAACTTGGTGAAACCGTTTCATATATATAGAAAACATTCCTCATACACACACACACACACACACATACACATATATATACATATATATATATATATATATATCTGTATGTGTGTGTGTGTGTGTGTGTGTGTGTGAGGAATGTGTTCTCATGGGCCCCTACAGGACGTGCATATGTTCTGACTGCGGCTCCCAGCAAGCCTCGTGCCCACCCCAAGTGAAGGTGGGCCTGATTAGTCAGGGGGGGGACCCTTATCTTAGCATTTTCAATTATGGGTTCAGACAGTTGCCGCACGTCGCTTCTTTGAAGTGCAACCTGACTCTCACACTCGACTATACCAGAAGAAGCAGCTGCATTACACAGTTCTCCCTAGGACGCAGGTGGTTGTGCCCTGGGCACACGCAGCGTGAGGCCGACACATCACGAACTGGCTACGGGCCAATCAGAATGTGGCATTGTCGTCAAATCTATCATGCTGGCCAATGCAAACATTCGGAGCCTCGACAATCCTTGGTGTGCCAAATTAAAAAGGGTCCACGCCCTCAACTATAGAGATGGGCTTGGGTGCAGATCCTGGCGGTCGACCAAAAGACACCAAAAACTTCCACGCCCAGGCCCAGCCAGACCAGTAGCAGCAACATCTCCCATATGGGAAGGAGGCTAGTCAGGCTCCGGCATTCAGGGCCCCCAGGCAATGCGGACATGCTGCTGCAATTGCCAGCACGCGTCTGCGTGTGCCCCTGTTGGCGGACGTACGTGCAAGTGCTGTGTGTTGAGAGGCGCTACCGAGCGGGCCAGTGGTATCCTATCGGCCATCGGCGGGCTGCAGGACACGAGGGTGGACGGTGAAGGACGACGGTGGTCTACGGGTCGAGGCGCATGTGTGGGTGGACAAGGGTGATGAGGGGAGTCGAGAGTACGTACCTGGTGTATGTGGGAAGCCGACATTCTTGTTGATGTCTTGTACATTGGTCTTCAAAGTCGATGTCAACCTGTTGCCTATATGTACATAGACTGCGTACGACGGGTAGAGTGACATTGAACATTGTACCACTTTCAGGTAAACCGTTAGCAAAGAGGGAGAAAACGACAACAAACGACGGCCTGTCCACAAACTCATCGATCGGGCCCCTGAAACGAGGGGGAATGCGAGCAATAATGTCATGTGTAGAAACGCGAAACATGTTCAATTTTCTATATATCTTTGTATGGTGTTGGAGGGGGGGCGGGAGGGGGGTTGGAGGGGTTCATTTGCGCCAGATATATATGCACGATTACGGTATGCGAACTTCATGAGCAATGTTCCGCTTGTATGTCTTTTGTGTACTGCAGAATTACGACGTAACCTCCTACAATGAGAGATAATATTGTCATCTGCGGATTGTTTTGCTCAGCGAATGTGAGAAACAATGAAAGAGCGGATTATTACTGAACATTGATTCCTCTACATGTGAATGTCCCTGCTGAAGAAGAAGAGTATCGTCACCGTGCGAGACTGGACACTTGTTATTTTGTTGTCGCAGTTGGGGGCGCACTTGTTGTAAAATTGTCAACCGAGATATATTATTTTCGACGGACGCTCATACACATCCGTGTCATCATGTCAAAGCCGACTTCTTACTTTGATCAACCTGTATTTTGTGATATTGAAGGAGACAAGTTACTTGACATTGTGCAACCCCTTATCATGACACTCTTGGAACGTCATACTGGCGATGTGTTGTGTGACGGAATCTGACAGGTGATTGTTTGCCCTCCCTATATGACTGTCGATCGTAAACGGTTCGCGGGACGTTTTTCCCCACGAATTTGACTGTTTTCAAAACGCTCTGTCCTCTGCCAGATCATGAAAGGACAGAAGGCTTGTAACTTGTAAGTGCTTCCGAGTGTCACATGGGCCACACACACACGAGAGAGAGAGAGAGAGAGAAAGAGAGAGAGAGAGAGAGAGAATCTATTATGGTGTTAAATGTGTTTACTTTTTCAATGTGTTAAGCCGACTGGTTAGACTCACATTATATTTTTGCGCAAACAGGTTTGTGCACCACACGTTTCATGCCCATTGCACACGTCATCATATAATATTAAATTTGGTAGTATGCAGTCTACTTGTTTGTATAATCAATTCCTCAACTTATTTGAAACAACACAATTTTGCTCTGTGTTGTGTCACTTCACACCTGTATGTCTCTACATTAATGTTGGTCATTTCTCATGGACGCTTTGTTGTTTCATGTGCAGTTATGGACACTAAAACATCCACCACCAACATAGTAGAATCAAACACTATCTTAGCACGATTCTCCAGAGCTGAAAAAAAGTTAGGGAATTGCTCACACTGCCATTGGGGCGGCCTCCAACAGTCTTCTCACAATAAGCAATGGTCTTGCAACTACGAATACCGGTGTTGCATCAGACGTTGTTGATGTGCGAAGTTCAAAACCGAAAGGGCGAGGGACAGAAGTTGTTGTGGCTGTGCAGTTATTCGTTTGCCGAGAGTTCTACAATATGGTGCCGTTCCGACAGGACCGACCCCTCKACCAGAACGGAAGGGGGGCCGTCAACCCGGACAGCGACAAATCAGAGCAGGTACATCAATAAGAAGTTGCAAAGCCGTCGCCACCAGCCGTCGAATTCCTCTTCGCTCATGAGGTAGATGCATCCACGCGGAGGGACGGCGCCAGCCTCGAGAGTGATCCCGTGACGTATGGGCCGATCCGGAACCGTTCCGGTGGGAGTCTCGAAGACGTCTCTATACTCGTCCAAGAGGTGAGAAATGCGTGGGTCCGGCGGTGACGCGGCTGGTCCGTCCGGCGAGGGGAGAGCATGCAAGAATACAAGGCCCATCTCCTCGACGTCATTCCGAGCAATGGCATCGCGAATTCTCGCAACGGAAACCACGTGACAAGCAATCGAAGTGTGAGGGGTCGCGACCGTACATGGGACTAACACTCCGTTCCGATCACGGATGTGAACAGTTCGGTCATGGAAGTTCACCGGATGATCGGCGCTACGCAACCAAAACATGCCTAGAATCATGTCGAACTTAGTGTCGAGGATGTCAAAAGACACTGGCTCGCACGCAAGTGGCGCAAAGTAGACCGGAACGCCGTCAACGCATCGGTCAATTGACTTTTGCGTGCGGCCGTCCGCGAGTGTAACTTGCGTAGGTTGCGTCTTCCTTCGAACGCGCGGGCCAAGACCTGCGCGGGTCATAAAGGCTTGGCTCATAAAGTTGCGAGACGCTCCGCAATCAATCAAGGCACTACAGGTTGCCTTTCCGATTTGAATGCGGATATAGAGCAAAGGTGCGTCAGTTTCGGCGTACCTTTGGGTGGCGTACTCGCGGTCAATCTTCGCAAGATAGGGGCGGAGATCGACAACCGCTACCCCGTCGTCCGTCAACGGAGCTGGTACTGTAGTRTGCAAATAGGAGCGTAGAGTTGCCATCAAGGCGTTRCAATGCRGCCTTGGCAAGGTTCCGGTCGAGGGTAGAGGCATCCAARCGAAGTCCTCTCTCGTGAGCGGGTCAAGCTCCTCAAGTCTTGACCACGYCGTYGAGTYCTYGAAAATCAGTGGCGAACTGACCGGATCACTTGCCGACGGTGTACAGGCTGCGCATATGCTAGCTAAGTGCACGTGGCTTGGCTGGTCTAATGGTGGTACCRGYTGGGCGGCATAATSCTCGTACGTRGCACGAGAATCAGCGACTAACGCATGCTCCCCGGTAGTGACATCGATTGCTAGCAAGGCAACCGGGTCCGGCGGAGTGAGGAGAGACGTCGCCCCTCTCCTTGCGTAACTCAGTTTCTCGAGTTTGCTGGACGGGGTACGCGTGCCTTGCCCTTTTCGGGGCATTGTGCGGTCACATGAATGACGCCGTTGCGCCAGAGGCAGTATTCGTACTTTTGATGAAGGTCATAGACATCCTTGGTTATCTTGTAAGTCGTCCATGGCTGCTGCCCAGTTCCCGTCGATGTTGTCTTTTGTGTCGCCTTGTTATTCCGAACTCTCTTGGGACGCTTCGGCGGGAGCGCTGCTACAATTCCTCCATCACTCGGGGATGCTGCTGCAGCGTGGAGATCATTTGTTTCGTCAGAAATCACGGCATTGTTATGTGCCGGACGTTGATAGCCCTGCTTAGCCACATAATGTGGCTGGGACTGCCGTTCGTTTGCGGCCTTATCATACGTTTGGATGACTAAGTTCGCACGATCCAGAATGGCCTGGAACGTGTCATAGTCGTACTCGTTGCCGAGTGCCGACCGCAGTCCCGCGCACGATCGCGAGAAGAACTCGGATCGTTGATTTGGAAAACTCAAATCGATGTGCGTGTGGAGTTCGGCGTGGTCACTATCTTCTGCCACTTGGTTGTCTTGTCTCCAGTTGGCATATTTCCTTGAGAGCAGGTGTATACCTC